ACGTGTGAGAAAAAATATCAATTAGCGAGGCGTAGCCGAGCCAAACATTGACCTTTGTTAAGCTAAGATTTAAGAGATAACTTATCATTTTTATTTTTAATTGTTCATTAATAACAATGAATTATTATTAGCAGATTAGACTAAAAACACTTGATTTGTTATTAAAAAAAAATACTCTAATCTCCATTGTTTCAAGATGGTGGAAATTTTCATAAAACGCAGTTTTGTAAAAAACAAATCAGATAATTTTACACCATTCAAACTTCCATTCCATTAGTCGCCAGCTTATACAAGGTGTTGAAAAATGATTGTAAAATATTTAAGGAGGTAATAGTATGGACCCAAATAAACAAAAAAGTCTCAAAAAAAATGAGGCCGATGTTTATTAAGACTTTTTTGTTTGTTTTGGTCTATACTATTACCTCCGGAAAGAGTTTACAATCTTTTTTTAACACCCTGTATAACTTACTCGGCTTTGCCTTGGGCTGTAGTTGCGAAAACCAAACATTCCTCGCATTTATTTTTTTAATTATGATTAATTTTATGTAAAATTGACGAGGCAAAGCCGAGTTATATGTTTTGGTCCATACTAAATCTTTTTTGAACACCTTGTATAATTTAAATTTTCGGGACACGTGTGGCGTTAATTGACCAAAATTGAATTAGCACACTACAGTGGTACCAATTTATTTTTCCCCTAGTTAAATATTTGAATTGTTATTTTTAGTGACAATGCACTCGAGTTGATCCCAATTGACGTAATCAAAACTCAAACAAAACACGTGCTAGAAATACACATTTTTTTTATAAAGCGGCACTCTAGATTCCTCTCTAGTTCAAAATCGGTCAAGGATTCTGCGCACAAACCGGTTTTTTCGAAAATTATTTTGATAACGCAAAGGCCTCTTCTATTTTTGGCACGTGAATGATAAAAAAAACACGGTATTCGTCTCGTGCGTCGATAAAGTGTGGCCTTGTGATAAACGTTCCGAATTCGAAACTGGTTTTTACCAGTTACAAGACACAAATTCGAAAAATGAAAAGAGCAATGATCGATGGAAAATAGCAACAAACAGCTTTATTTGTGTTCTAGTGAAACAATTTCGTTGGAATTGTACGTTGCACGTGATCGACACGTGACGGACGATGACTCGCGGTCCCCAAGGGGCGCTCGTGGGGCCCACGAAAAAAAAAATTCGAATTTACGAATTTTTTCGCAAATTTACGAAGCGAAACCGAGTGGTGCAACAAAAAAAGGATATATTTGGCTCGGCTTCGCCTTGGGATGTAGTTGCGAAAACCGAACATTTCCCGCATCTAATTTTTACTTATGTTCAATTTTATGTTAAATTGACGAGGCGAAGCCGAGTTTTGTAACAAAATATGTACGAGGCGCAGCCGAGTTTTTTACTATAAAAACCCTATATATGTGATATGAGCGTTCTTGGGGCCCACGAAAAAAAAAATTCGCATTGTTAAATTTTTTCGCAAATTTACGAAGCGAAACCGAGTGGTGCAACAGAAAAAAGAGATATATTTGGCTCGGCTTCGCTTAGGGGTGTAGTTGCGAAAACCGAACATTTTCCGCATCTAATTTTTATTTATGTTCAGTTTTATGTCAAACTGACGAGGCGAAGCCGAGTTTTGTAACAACATACGTACGAGGCGCAGCCGAGTTTTTTAATATAAAAACCCTATATATGTGATATGAGCTTCTTGGGGCCCACGAAAAAAAATTCGCATTGTTAAATTTTTTCGCAAATTTACGAAGCGAAACCGAGTGGTGCAACAGAAAAAAGAGATATATTTGGCTCAGCTTCGCTTTGGGGTGTAGTTGCAAAAACCGAACATTTTCCGCATCTAATTTTTATTTATGTTCAATTTTATGTTAAATTACGAGGCGAAGCCGAGTTTTGTAAAAATATGTACGAGGCGCAGCCGAGTTTTTTATTGTAAAAACCTTATATGCATATGTTAATTTTAGTCCGAGGCGAAGCCGAGGATTACAGTCGTTATTTTTAAAAGTTATGTCAAATGAACAAGGCGAAGCCCAGTTTTGTAACAGTAAAAATTTCACATTGTTCCTTTTTCAAAAAAAATTCTGGCTAATTTCGACTTTTTTGACAAATTTATCGTGTAATAATAAAAAAAATGTTTCTAGCATATTTTACCAATTCGCAAGCCGAGGCGAAGCCGAGTATTGTGACAAAAAAATAATACATTTGTGCAAAATTTATTAATTTGGATCGGCTTCGCCTTGGATTGTCGTTACAAAAACTAAACTTTCCCCAAATCCATTATTTTTGTTTAAGTCAATGTCAAATTTACGAGGCGAAGCCGAGTTTCATAACAATAAAACGCTACAGTTGTTTAGTTGTTAATTTTTAGCTCAAGGCGAAGCCAAAAGTTGTAGTTATTCTTAATTTTTTTCCTTTAGTTAAAGATTATGTCAAATATGGACGAGGCGCAGCCGAGTTTTGTAACAATAAAACCTTTATATTTGTTGATTTTCAAAAAACCAAAGGTTGCAGTTTTCAAATTTTTACTTTTGCCTAAAGTGTATGTAAAATGTACGAGGCAAAGCCGAGTTTTCTAACAATAAAACTCCACATTTGTGCAATATTTGCTTATTTTTAGCTCAAGACAAAGCCGAGGATTGTAGTTTTTCGATTTTTTTAACTTTGCTTAAAGTTTATGTAAAATTTACGAAGCGTAGCCGAGTAGTGTAACAATAAAAAGGCTATATTCGGCAATAAACCGAATTTTCTAACAAAAAATTCTACTTTTTTGTGATGTCAAGCCAAGAATTTTAGTTTAGATGTCTTTTACTTTTACTTGAAGGTTATGTCAAATATGTACGAGGCGCAGCCGAGTCTTATAACAATAAAACTTTTATATTTGTTGATTTTCAGCCCAAAAA